AGTATTGGTCCCATTTACATTTCAAGAAAATATTCCACGTCTAAGCGTAGCAAACTAGGGGATGGAACTGCGTTCGCGCACTTCCGGTAACCAATTTCAATAAAACTTGGCAATAAGGTGTAATTCCACGAACTTTTGAGGAGAAAAAAAACACAAACTTACCTCGAAATTTTACAAGAAAACCACTGTATTCAATAGGTACTTTGCATACACCAATAATTTCTTTAAAATCAACTGAACTAAATAGAAAGCGTATATGATATACATTTTTCAAATTAGTTACGTAGTTACTCAAGCAAAATGAACCATATTAGTACGAATTCGATTTTTTTTAACGCACACACTCAACATAGCCCCGCACTAGAGAATCCCTGTGTCGCGGGCGTCATGAACACACACAAAGACAAACACAAATTACACCCAAACTCATGAGAGAAATAAATGTAGGCAAATATTTCTCCCGGCCCGGGAATCGAACCTGGGACCTCTGCGTCTCAGGCAGGCATAGTAACCGTTCGGCCACGGAGACAGTTATTCGAGCTGACGTAGTATCAACTCTTTCGCAAAGAGCACTCCTGCTATTAGAAGTCCGCGCTAAAAAGTGTCCGAACTTATAGGGCGTTAAAATCGTATACAGAGCGTCATTCACGCTCTAGTCTTCGTTTGTTCGACTGACAGCGAAGCAAGCAAAATTAGACGGTACTGCGATGACATTACAATTTAAATTCAACGTTTTAGCTTTTTCATATTCCTTTACATGTCACTACGTTTAAATAGGTTGACTTGGGACATTTTTTTCGTGGTTTTTGTATTAGACCCGTCATCCATTTATTTGTAAGTCAATGGTTAAATTCATTAATGTGTTATGGAACGATATCACAACGCATTAATAATAATGAAAGCAAAATGTATTTCAGAAGCTAGGTATTATTTATCTTCAAACGGAAAATTGTTTTGCGATGTAATGATCAGGTTTCTGCTACACTGACTGGGACAATTTGGAAAACCGCTGACTGTAACACACTTCAATTTCAGCGGTTCTCGCGCCTTACCGCCGCGTCACTTGTAGTTTAATTTCGTCTTCAGATGCGGTAAACATGATATAGGTGTACCAAACATATAATTCGTTATTTGTGAAAACACATGTTGTGTAGAAGTTGACGTGTAGGTACTATTAGGAAGTTTCAGAAATAAAATTCCAACTCCTTGTGTTCTTCGTTTATTGGTATGAAGACTAATTACTATTATACACTTTGCATGATAAAATGGCACGGTAAAGCAAGATGAGAGGCACTGTCCTCTGAGACTCCAACAAACAGAATGTCGAGCAATCGAGTATCACAAATTAAGAAACGTTAGCAGTATGGTGGGAGCTTTTTGGTAGGGCTGCATTTTTGGCGCCACCAATATAGTGTATTGTGGCGCCATCAACTAAAGCTACTGGCGCTACCAACCTAACAATGTAGCAACGGAAACAATACTCATGACCAAATATACTCTTTAATATAAATAGTGCTCTAATATTACAAAAATATAATTACAATAGGACAAAATTATTTATATGTCTAATATGTCGCTTACAGCTCGGCCATCCTGTTTGATGCGAGTCCCTTCGCTTATGCAACAAAACATTTACATCTAGATACATAACCAAGTAAATATGTTAGAGAATGTAAACTTTATTCTAGGGTATGAACTAAATACATTTTCAATGAAAGGAATAATTTGTATTATTAATTACATTAAACAATTTAAATTAGTAAATACATAATACGGTCGCTTGAACTTACATTTAAAAATCAAGATTTTTAGACGATTCTTACAACAAATTCTTATTATATAACAAGTGTTCGAGAGATTGTCGATACAGGTATACTATTAACATAATAATTCAAAGGTAACAATTATAATGAAAACACAAATTACATTTTTTTTAAATACATATTGGATTACTTATATAAATCATCTAATCACGTTCGCTGTCACCACTTTCTGTGTCACTAAATGTTAAGTCCCTATTAAAACTCATCCAAGGCTGTAGTTTATCTATCGCTACTATATTTTCATAGCGTCGACCATGTCTACGTGTCAGAGGGGTATTTTCTATCAAAAACCTGTCATTAGGGAGCACTTTCACTATACGATATGATATTTAATTACAAGCTTCTGGGATTTACCGTCATGAGGAACTTGCCTTTCTACACGTACCAAGTCACCCTCGCTATACTGTTTAGCGGGTTTTCTACTTTTATTGAACCTTTCAGCATCTTTAACTGCTTTTATACTAGTGATGGATTTCGTATTTTTGACTGGGGTTATGTTAACGAATTTAGAAAAAACCATCGACCATTACTAAAAGATAACAATTTCCTTTTTTACTTTTTACAAATGGACCGAGATGATCAGCGTGAAGTGTATGGAAAGGTATGCTGACTTTGTCTATGGGGTGGAGCTCATCCTCTCGCTTACCTCCAGGTGCTTTGTGATGCGCACGCTCTAAGCAAGACGAAACATACTTTTTTGTGAAGCGCCTCATTTTGGCAAACCAATAATGTTTCCGAATGCGTTGAAGAGTTTTTTCAAACCCGCAATGACCACGTCATTGTGGTTCTTTTTTTCAATTTGCCAACGGACGCCCTTAGGTACAAGCCATTTAAGTTCCTCGCCGATAATTCGATATACACGACCGTTTTTAAGCTTATAATTTTTGCATAGTTCGGCTACTTGTTCGGATTCAGGATAACTTAGAGTTTCTTTAATAGACTTTACTTCATCATCTGCACATTGAACGGTGGTTATCCAATTCTGTTCGGGTTCTTGTAAGGCAAGTACATCTAGAACGTGAGATTCTAATTCCCCACAGTCGACAGGGTTGCGGCTCAATGCATCGACATGTGTCATTCGGGGCCCAGGCCTATACTCAATACAGCAATCGTATTCCTGTAATTGGACCCACCATCGTGCAATTCGCGGAATTACGTCGCGTTTCGTTAGAGTAAATCTAAGAGCATTACAGCCAGTGAGGATCTTAAACGGTACGCCAATTAAATATACTCTAAATCTATTTAATGACGCTACAACGGCTAATGTTTCGAGCTCATACGAGTGGAGTTTACGTTCATCGTGTGTGGTTTTTAGACTGAAATGTGAAACTGGTTGAAAAACTCCACTAGCATTACATTGAAGTAAGATACCGGCTACACCCTCCTTGCTGGCGTCAGTATGAAGTTGAGTTTCTGCAGTAGGATCATATAGCGCAAGTAAAGGACGTTGAGTTAGTAGCGTCTTTAAATCAGTAAAGGCCTTGTTTTGAATATCTCCCCATGTCCAAGGAATGTTCTTTTTTTAGGAGATCGGTAAGAGGGGATGCCAATATGGCGTAACCTTTAATAAAATGGCGGAAAAACCCCGACAAGCCTAAAAACTGTCTTAGTTCATGTTGATTATTGGGTTTGGGAAATTTTGATACTGCGTCTATTTTCCTAGATCCAGGACGAATGCCTTCAGCACTAACTTCGAATCCGAGAAAATCTATGATGTTTTGAAAGAAATGACACTTGCTAAGTTTCAAGTGAGTCCACCTTGCCTTAACAATTTAAGGACTTCTTCCAGCCTTTGCAACCCCTCTGATACGTTTTTTGATGGAATAAGTATGTCGTCCATATAAACAATGGCATATTTAATTTTAGCTTCTGATAATATTTTATTAATTGTTCTCTGGGAGACAGAAGGGGCATTGACTAGCCCAAAAGGCTTGCGATTGTATTCAAACTGACCGTCAGGGGTTACAAACGCTGTTTTGTGCCGCGATTCCTCTGCAATGGGTATTTGGTAATACCCAGACGCCAAATCAAGAGAAGTAAATAAAGTATTACCGGCTACCACGTCTAATTGGTCTTCAACAAGGGGGAGTGGGTAATGATCCTTTTTAGTTTTGCGATTTAAAGCCCGGTAGTCAACGCATAAGCGTTTGTCTCCAGTCTTCTTTTGAACCAAGACTATGGGATTCGCATAAGGCGAGGAGGATTCCCTAACAATACCACTATCAAGCATCTCCTGTACCATAGTCCTAACTAACGCTCTCTCAGCGACAGACATTCGATAAGGACGATATACAACTGGTTGCGAGTCATCAAGTTCAATAACCATTTCTGTCGCTTTAGTGAAACCGAGATTATTAAGACTATCCAAAAAACAATCGTTGTGACTTGAAAGTAGTTGTTGCAACTGTACACGTTCCTCGTCGTTCAGTTTATCACCACAGTTTATTGATTGATCCAATTCATTTACACTGAACGAAACACTACAGGTATCTAGAATTCCAAGCCTATCATGCAAGCTTTCTTTTGAAGAAAGCTCGAGTCATAAGAAAATCTTTATTGATAGCAATAGTTCGAGGTGACACATTGAAAACCAACAGTGTACTAGAACCTTGTTTAAGCTCGTATTGACCCGGAAGGATGTAATATTCTTTACCTCCAGGTCCTCGCAAAGAACCATCTACAAGAACGGAACCGGTCAATTGTGAATGAGAAACAACGGCCACGGGTCTTACTGAATTATTAGGAATGTCAATTTGTTTATTGACTGTTAAATGAATTTTGTCTGGGATAATTCTATTAAATATGAGTTCGGTCGGAGTCTTCGTTATAGTAATATCTGGCTTTTCAGTAAAGGAGTGTCCCAGTAAAACTGGTTGATGAATAACAAAATCTTCGACAATATACATGTTCACAGTTTCTTTAATATTCTGTACTTCAACTAAACACACCGACATCCCTACCGGTGCTATCAAATTGGCCCCAATTCCCCTTAGCACAGGTAGATCCTTAGGGACAGTGACTTCAAGGTCAAGTTCTTTTGATGTGCTTTGTTTGATTAGTGAGCATTGACTGCCTAGATCAACGTGACATTTAACAGGTGTATCATTAATCTTGACGTCAATTATATACTTATCATTTGCGTCATCAACGCTTAATTTTGCGACTTGTTCCTCATTCCTATCCTTGATCCGCTCCTGACTCCTTAGACTTATTCTTGAAGCAATGAACAGCAAGATGCCCTAATTTTTCACAAAATGTACATTTTTCTGGAGGTTTGTTGCATTTAGAGCTACGATGCCCGAGTTCACCACAATTGTAACACGTAATGCCGTTTTCTTTTGATGTACCTGGCTTAAATGTTGTAAATGTTTTGCGATCAATACGAATTCGTGAAGAATCTCGAGGGTCTCTATCCCTATTCTGTCCTACTTTTACAGATCTAAAATATTTAAGGACCTGTTCAGGCTCAGTGAATTGAGCAGCCTGAGCACCTACTTTTACAGCACGGTCTTCTAAGCCATATAAGATACAGTCCACCGCTTTTTTCTTATAAATTTTACATCTATTTAGCAGGTTAACCTTCGCATAGTAATAGTGCTCCAATGATTCGCCATACTTAACTCTCTTAGTTAACATTTCGGTCAAGAGCTCAGCATAATCCTCGCGACAGGGAAAGGATTCAATTATTTTCTTTTTCCATTCTGGCCAAGTGAATAGTAATGTTGGTAAACCTTGGTACCAAGATTTAGCAACCCCCGTTAATTTTGGCAACGCGTAATGTATAGTTTCTTTATCATCCCACCCGTAAATTTCTGCACATTCTTCAACCTTGGTTATCCACGTTAATGCAGTTTGCTCTTTACACATTGGATCAAATTCAGGTATAACATTTGTATTAAATGTCAACTTGGGTTTATCTGAACTCTTGACTTGATTTAAAATAGATAACACCTTATCCAAAATATCATTATCTTTAGATTTAGACGGTCTCGATCGTTTAGTAGCAGAATAGTATCGCTCACCAGAGTCCTCAGAAGAAGTACTACGACGCCTTCTACACCACCTCTCTGAAGAACCGCCTCTGTTGCGGCGCCTTCCTCGTGGTACGTTTACGTTTGGCTCCTTATAATGCTGCGATAAATCAAGTGCATTTTGACCCTGACCCTGGCTGGGTACTCCTGGATCATGAATGCTATTATCTAGACCCCGGCCCTCTGACCTGGGCACTCCTGGGTTACAGATTCGACTTGAACCCCGACCCTCGTACCTGGGTGCTCCTGGGTTACA